AGGGGTTTTCATTTTAAAAAAAAACATGTTTCCTATGAATACTCAGCCATTACACTGCTTTTTTGGTCAAGTTTGAGCATTTAATTTCCTGTAAGTCATTTCTGGTAGAGAGACCTCCATGACTGCAGAAAAGCGCTTAGCAGATATGGAAGGTAGATTGAGATTCAGCGTCTAAGTTACATATAACACTGGTTACCTCTTCAATTCGCCACCACGGCCAGGTATCCTTCCAGAAAGTTCAACTCTTTTTGAAACAGTAATATGCACTCCAATGTAATCACTGCCTAGAGAAATTTTGGAAGAGCAATAATGCCTTGAAATCCTCTAAAAATGGTTCCCTTAAATCCAATTAGTGCAGTATTCATATGTTATTTGGAAGCATTTTATATCCCTCCCATAAATAAAAGTTATTCAATCTCCTTAGCATAGTCAAATGCTTATTTCTTCGGCATGATACTGTAGAAGATGTTATACGTCTGTTATGCCAACAGAAATTTTTCCGTAGCATATCATTCCGACTTGAATATTTTAATCGAACTTAAGGGGATTAAGACAACAAGGTAGTCGATGGCGGCAGATCTAACTGCAAACTCTCATCATAATCTCTAATGAAATGGATACATTTTTGCATAAGAGATCACTAATATCAACGTTTAGTTAGAGGAACTCATTTTCTAGAAACAAATATCATTGATACGGAATATTCCACTGAATAACAATAATTCATTTTTCACTCATATTTTCACTAATCATATGCATAACTTAAATTCTTGTCATAACATTCTCATGCACAATTCAACATAGTCTCATCTTGTTTGCAATTATTAAAGCTTTTTTATAACTTGCATTTCAATGAAGCTTTTAGATCAGCATGATCCTTTAATTAGAATATAGGCATTCGTATTTGCCTATCCGTAACGTATCTTTACGCTTCAATAGTCAAAGTGCAGGTTCAGCAATGTTCCCAAAAATTGATAGAGCAGTAATTGAAAACTGCACACATCTCGTCAACAACTTGTATTTAACTAAATAGTTCATATACAAAATCAAAGTAACTGTTCACTCTCTCTAATAACTGGCGTTCCAAACACATTGATCAATAATATATTCATCAAAAGTAGATGTAAAAACCCAAAAGTGTATCTAACCAGTAAACGAATGAGCGCAAAAGTGCAACTACACACAAAAAAAGCATGCTGCTCTGATGTACGAGCAAAATAAAATGAGGGATAAAATTTCTAGCGTGAATTGCATCAAATGGAGGTTAGCTGTTATTGCAATAAATTTATTAGAATTAAGAAGGTAGAACAGATCCTTTGGGTTGCGAAAAGTCAT